TAGCATATCTTACAGCTTAGTGAGACTGAGAGACCAAAAAAAAGAAAAACAACAAAAAAAAGATGGTGCTGTGCAGTGTTAGACAGTGGGAATTCAGAGGAATACAAATGCCAGATTCACGGTCAGACTTTTCTTACTTAGTTTCTCCAACCTCAGCCAAGCCTCCTTCCCTTTTTGTCTTCTTCCTCACATGTGTACACTGTACTCACGTCTATTTCTTTAACTATTTTTATTTTATGTATATGAAGGTTTTGCATGCAGAGCTCATGGAGGTCAGAAGAGGGCATCAGATCCCCTGGAACTAGTTACTGACAGTTGTTAGCCACATGTGGGTGCTGGGAACTGAACCCAGGTCCTCTGTAAGAGCAGCCCGTACTCTTAAATGCTGAGCCATCTCTCCAGTCCCTACTCTGAACCTTAAAAAAACAATATTTTGGTGGCACTCAGCACTTTTCCCAGCACTCAGGAGGCAGAGGCAGGTAGATCTCTGTGAGATTGAGGATGACCTGGTCTATGTAGCAAGTTCCAGTCCAGCTGGGGCTACAGGAAGACCTTGTTTCAAAAAACTGAAACAAAACAAAAACACTTTATTATTTTTACTTTATGTGTATGAGTGTTTTGTCTGCATGTATGTAAGTGCACTGGTATTATGCAGTGCTCACAGATTTTGAGTTGGATGTTTCTTTAGTTCAGTTGGTAAAGCCTGAAGAACATTTTAAAATAGAAGATGCTGGAGCTTTTCACTTTTATCTTTTCTTTAAATTTTATTTTTATTTCTATTTTATTTTTCTATTTATTTTTATGTGTATGAGTGTATTGCCTGCATGCATGTAAGTACGCCCATGTGGTGCAATGCCCACGGAGGTCGGAAGAGGGTGTTGAATCCTGGAACTGGAGTTGCAGATGGTTTTTAGACACCATGTGGGTTCTGGAAGTGGAATCCAAGTCCTCTACAAGAGCAGCCAGTGATTTTAACTGCTGAGCCATCTCTCCAGCCCCCTCACTTTATTATTTTTGTTTGCTTTGGACTTTTTGAGACAAGGTCTCTCTATAGCCCCATCTGGCCTGGAACTCACTACATAGACCAGGGTGGCCTTGAACTCATAAGAGTTCCGCCTGCTTCTGCCTCCCGAGTGCTGGGACTAAAGACATATACCACTCTCTCAAGCCTTCATTTGAACCTTATAGAAGGCCCTCTGAGCCTTGTACACATAAGTGCTTGGTTGGTGTTTATTGGATGGACTCATCTCTTCCTAACTAATAATGACCCTTGCCCATACTCACTTCCTCTTGCACCTTTTACTCTTTACTCCATGAAGCTCATTGTCCCATGTCTTACATGATGTGGACTGATAACAGCGTGGAAGAGGCAGTACAGGGAAGCTTTCCCCAGCTGGTTTCTTTCTCATCTGCACTAGAGAAAAATGTCAAAAGAAACCTTTAGACATTCTGAAAATGCAGCTCTTTAGAGCTTTTTAGTGAAAATTTCCTTGATGCTGTATGATCATAATTAATTATAATCTTATTCATCAGGTTAGCTCTGCAATAGAAAGTAGGTAAGCATCCAGCTTTTGTATTTATAGCTATAGAAATAGATGAATGATCAAAGTAAAATCACTACAGGGGCCCAGCCCCAGCTTTGGTTGACAGGGCCCATTTGGAGGATTAGACTCTTCTCAGCAGACTGTAATAGATTCTTTGTCTCCTGTTCCAAGTTTTCCTCCACTGCCCCACGTCCCACTCCCATCCAGCTCCACCTCTGCACTGCTTCACTCCCATCCTTAAGAACAAAATGTGGGGGTTGACTGGCTAAGCAAGCACTGGGTGCTAATATGAAAATTTGCCTGACACATCAGCCTAAGCAGTGGGCTGGGGAGCATGAGCATTCTCCCCACCTTGAGGGAGACATAATGGCAGACACAGAGCAGAAGATCCTACTGTAAATCAGCAGCTCCACTCTGCACCAGGTTCAACTTATGAGAGGCACTACCTACAGTACTATCTTCAGGACTGTGGAATTACAGCATGAGTATGGAGAAAAGGCACTATTGATTAGCATCACCCACTGTGGGTCAGAGTGGGAAAAACTTTGCACATTACATTCTGTGGTAAAGTGTTAAATCATGTGCTAAAACCAAGTGCAGTGGTACACACTTGTCACCCAGCACTGAGGAGGCCGAAGCAGGAGTATCATGAGTTCAGGCCAGTTTGGGCTACATAGCAAGACTATCTTAAAAAAAAAAAAAAACAAGATCCAGGTGTGTAGCACACACCTATAACCCTGCACTCAGAAGCCTAACATAGGAGTGCCAGCCTGGGGTAGAGAGTGAGACTCTGTCTTAACACACACACACAAACAAAACAAAACAAAAACAAAACAAAAAAACCTAGTGGCAGTGAGTGGTAGGTGACAGCAGCTCCAGTTGAGAGAGGTCAGATGTGAGTTGGAGTTGTACAGTGGAAGCCTGAGTCGAGCGAAGTGAAGGGAAAGCTATTTGGTCATGAGGCTATAGGTGAAGGCCTAGCAACTGGAACAGGTGGGGTGAGGGTCACAGAGAGGTGACTGGCAGAGGCACCTGGCTGGAGTAGACGCCTGCTGTGGAGGAGAAGTGGGAGGGTAAATGGAAAAATACAGCAAGAAGAGAGTGTGCAGAAGGGGTGGTGGCTGTGGAGCTTTCCAAGGTCAACTAACAAGGTTCTTCTCAGCTTTCTGACCATCACCACAGGCAAAAAACCTAGCCTGGACCCAAAGCATCCACATCTGGATGTCATAAACTGAATATAACAAAAGCACTAGAGTAAAATGTCAATTTTTTCCTATTCCTGCTAATTGATGCTGTGTGTGGTTCTTGTCTTTTTCTTCCTATTGTATAAATATATTTTTAAAACACAGCTGGATTCTTGTAGCCTTAGCCAGCAGGCTAAAAGGTGCCACATGTCAAGAGTGGGGCCTCCCATTGTCCACACAGCACAGCTGTGCAGAGGACGGTGGTTATTGTCCTATTATATTGTAGCTGCTGATGACTCAGAGTGATTGGGGCAAATTCAGGGATGTTTGACTGGGAAACGGAAGATGGATCACAGCCACCATCACCGTCATGACCTGGGCAGGCCTGTAACTGCTCCCAGCTCTTCTCCCAAGATTGTTTGACATTTTTTTATTTTGGAAATTCTAAGAAAAAGAAAAAAAACCCTGAAAACTGTTAAGCTTAGAGAAGAAAAACTACACACACACACACACACACACACACACACAAACACAAACACACACACGGGCAAGATATTTAACTTCTGTACCTAGCCTTTTTTTATTTTTAAAGAAAGCTTAAGGGGTTAACCTGCATTATTTACTCATAGTACATTAAATAACTCATAGTATATCAGTACTTACAATTTTTTAAAATATTTTTATTGAGTTTTTGTGATTTCCTACAGTAGTTCTTAATCAAATTTAGACCTCCTCTCCCATCCGTGCCCCTCCCACGTCCCCCCAACTGAACCTCATGCATTTTGTCATATATGTTAAGTCTTATCTGGTCAAGCATTTGTACTTAGATGTCCTTTGGTATAGGTTCATCCACTGGAGTCTAGTCAGCCTATCTAGAGATCTTAAAGATCTACTCTCCCTCACCCAGCAGTAATCAGTTTCCAGCAGTTCCCAGGCTAGGGCTGGCTTACCACCCATTTCCTGCGCTCCACACTGGGCCCTTGTCTGATTGAGTGGGCATGGGTCTTGTACACAACACCACCATTGCCACAAGTTCACATGAGCAAGCTTCCAGTGTCCTTGAAAGCCTATTTCCCTATGTTCATGGACCACCCTGGCTCTTACAATCTTTCCACCCCCTCTTCCACAATGGTCCCTTAGCTGTGGGAGGGTAAGGTTTAGTATAGGAGTCCTATTCAGGAACACTCATTCTGCAGTCTCTTATTCTCTAAAACTTAGTTCTGGCCTTTTATGTGCATTGCACTCTATTGCATAAGGAATCTTCATTGGTGAGAATTGAGGAATGTATTCTCTCCACCCCCATTCTGCTATGTTCCATGAACTTTCAGTGACACTGTAGATGTGTCAACTAGGACTGGGCATCTCTCAGACATATATTCTCTGTGTGTGACCAGTTTTGGAACTATGCATCACCTCCATCTGTTCCAAAAAGAAGCTTCTTTGATGAGTGGTGTATGGTACACTTGTCAGGGTAGTAGGAGGGCCAGTCTGTCTACCTAGCATTTGAGAAGGGGGATAGTAGCAATAGCTTCCTTAGAAGGTTATTGTTGAGGAATTAAATGAAATTCAATAACATGATTATAAAGTGTGGCCATGACATCTGGGCCATCCTAAGTGTTTAAAAAATGGTCTCTATCATTGGTGTTTGGCTTTTCATTTGTGGCGAGGACAACTGGTATTGAATATTCTGGCATGCTTGTTTAAATGTTGGATTCTAGACTCAGCTCTGCCACTAAGTTTTGTGACAAAGTTTTAGGTGTTTATGTCCTCATCTTCTAGAGGGGCAACAGTAACTTGTCTCCCTCATGGGGGCCTGGGGTCAAATGTGAGAATGAAGCTGTTTAGAATGTCAGACTTTATTGCTGCCATTCTTTCAGGAGGCAATGAATGGCAACATGAATAAAAATGGACCCAATTTTAAGTTTAGGAAACACCAAGGACTACTTGTGGGAGCAACTAATGTACATTGCAAAAAACACATCTGCATGGGGACTGGAGAGATGGCTCAGTGATTAAGAGCACTAACTGTTCTTCCAGAGGACTCGGGTTTGATTCCCAGCACCCACATGGAGGCTAGCAACCGTCCTTAACTCCAGTTCCAAGGAATCTGACACTCTTCTGACCTCCCTGGGCATTGCACAATAGGTGTGCACTTCAGATATGCAGGCAGTATACTCATACACATAAAATAAAAATAATAAATTTTTAAAAACCCCACATCTGCTTGTTTTTTTCTTGAAGAGAAATAGCATTTATGTTTTCTTTCTCCTAGAAACCTCAGTGAGCTGATAGATCGGTTTGTGACAGATTTCAAAGCCCAGGGCCCACCCAAGCCCAACACTGAAGAAGGGGGTGCTGTGCTCCCCAGCTGTGCTGACCTATTTGTCTACTACAAGAAGTGCATGGTACAGTGCTCGCAGCTCAGCACGGGCGAGCCCATGATCGCTCTGACCACCATCTTCCAGAAGTACCTTCGAGAATATGCTTGGAAAATCCTCTCTGGCAACCTGCCCAAGTGAGTCCTATCCTCCGTGGTCTGAGCAGTGAAGCAAGACTCTAAACATTCCTAAATATGGGAGTCTTTAAGGAAACCCCTCAGAGGTTGTTTACAGAACTGCTAAGAATGTTCAGGAGGAAAACACTCTCTGGGCTCCCAAGGGCCTGACGTTCTTTCCTCTCTAATGACATTCCAACAGCAGACCATCATCATCAGCGGACCTGCTCCCCCTGGCTGCCAGTGTAGGTCACATCTACCACAGAGTTGGCCCACATATGTGATATAAATCACTGATAGCATAGGCAATGTCACTGAAGCCTCTTCCAAGATGTTCATGCCTTGGAGTGGAGGTAGACAGGAGGTTGCATCTGATTTCCCCTCTGTCTGGTGGCATTCCACAGCCCCTTATGCTGTGTGCATGAACAGTCTATGTATGGTAGGACTGGGGCTGGAGAGATAACTGGGCAGAGGTACCTGCTGCATAAGCATGAGAACTTGAGTTTGGATCCCCAGAACCCACATAAAAAGCTGAGTTTGGCAGCACCTGCCTGTCATTCCAGCACTGGGAGGCAGAGACAAGAGAATTCTGGGGACTTGCCAACAGCCAGTCTAGCCAAATCCAGGGAGCTTGAGGTTCGGTGAGAGACTTTGTCTCAAAAAACAAGATGGAGAATGGTAGAGGAGGACACCCAATGTCAACCTCTGGTCTCTGCACACACACACGATGCAGTAGGATTTGGGGGGAGAGGTTCACAATGTTGCTTCTAAGTGCAATGGCTCTTCCATCTTCTGATACATTAGAAGATTTGATATTGTTCATTACCTAAAAGAAGTGGATCATTCAACTAGTGTGTTTTGGTTACATAGCAGTTTCGACTGTCCTAGAATTAACCTATCATGATGCTTCTGAATTTAGTATTTAAAGTGATCCCAAGGCTGAATTAACAATTCTGGAATTAGTTTCTCTCGTTGTCACTAAAATGTATCACATGTGGGAGTAGAATCCTGTGCCCTGCAGAAATTTTGAAATTTCAGACCTAGTCAAGTATGGAACTTCTTTGACTATTAAAAAAATATTTTTTAATTAAAAATTTTTTAAAGACTTAATTTTATTTTTGAGTGTGTGTGTGTGTGTGTGTGTGTGTGTCTGTGTCTGTGTCTGTGTCTGTGTCTGTGTGTCCTGTCTGTCTGTGGATTTGTGTAAATAAGTGCAGATGGCCTTGGAGGCTAGAGACTTCAGGTCCTCTGGAGCTAGATTTACAGGCAGTTGTGAGCCACCTGATGTGGGTGCTGGAAATGGAACTTGGGTCCTCTGCAAAAGCAGTATGTGCTCTTAACCATTAAACCATCTCTCTTGCACCCCTTTTTACTTTTTATTTTTTTGAGACAGGCTCACTATATAGCCTTGACTGGCCTGGAACTCGCCTTGTAGACCAACTTGCTCTGTGGCCTCAAACACAGAGATCCACGTACCTCTGTCTCTCAATTGCTGGGATTAAAGATGTGCACCACCTAGTTCTAGCCCCGTTTTTAAAGTTTTGTTACTTTTTTTCTTGATTTTTAAGATAGTGTAAGTTCATTATCACTTAGAAAGCATAGAAAAGTGCAAGAAAGAAAATTAAAACCACCAATAATTTCATCACCCAAAGGAAACCTCTTGAATTTTGTGGTATTTTTTTTTCTTTTCTTTTCTTTTTTTTTTTTAGATTTTTTTTTTTTTCTTATTCATTTTTTAAAGACTAGGTGTCATTATATACCTCAAACTGAGTGGCCTTAAACTCATGAGCCTCCTGCCTCACATCCCAACTGCTAGGATTATAGGCATGAGCCACTATGCATGGCTCATTTTTTCATTATTTATTCATGTACATGTCACATGTCGTGTTTGCTTTGGCATGTTTGTGCAACACTATGGAATGGTCCTGCTGATAGCCGTGCACCTGGTCTTTTCACTTGACGTTGAAGTCTTGGGATGCCAGGATGTGTAGCAGGGGCTGCCCCACAGAAACTAACCTCACAGAAGTCTCCTGGGGTGCTTAGGACTTGGGGGCTGTCTTACTGTTCATTCCACCCTTGAGCTCCTCCACAAACTCGTCTTAACTGAGACAGATGGGGAACCAGACTTTGGGCTTAAATGATCCTAAGTGAGCTCTGCACCTCAGGAATTCCCAAGCTAAAGTGTTAGGCAGCCAGGCAGCTTCTATACTAAGAATGGGATCATCCCAGGTGACAGGACTGATTACTAGCTCACTTTTGGCATTGTCTCTTCCTGTTCCTGTGGGTGAGAGGGTCCAAACAGATGACAGTCAAGGTAAGGTCAAGAGGAAAAGGCTGCATTGTGTTGATGTATTTGGACCATGGCCAGCCTTTCTTTCCCTTTCTTCTTTGTCTTAAAATATGCAGCTTCAGGAAGCAAATAAGCAATTGCAGCCTAACCAGTTCCTGTTCCTTTTCTTCAGAACCAGCAGCAGCAGTGGAGGGCTGACCATCAGCAGCCTCCTCAAGGAAAAGGAGGGCTCCGAAGTGGCCAAATTTACTCTGGAGGAGCTCTGCCTCATCTGTAGCATCCTGAGCACAGCAGAGTACTGTCTGGCTACCACCCAGCAGGTGAGTGAGCGCCCAGCTGCCCCAGCACCACTGCCTGGAGCTCTCAGCCACAGCTGGGATGGAACTTATGAGCCCCATCAAGGACCTTGGACAGACCAGTTGGCCTCACAGGAGGGAAAACTTTCCATGCAGAGACTGCCCAGGCAGCCGTCTTACAGAAGGAGATGGGCAAGAAAGTATAGTCCATCTCCTCCCTCAAGTGTAAACCACCCAATAGGCATGACCTCTCAAAAGCAGGTCAGTAGCACTGTGTCCCTCATGAGAAAAGCAGGAGTAAACTACAGCCCAGCCTTTGGTGTGGTGAGTCATACCTAGTGACTATGATCTCAGAGATAAGCAAAGTCCTTTGGGATTTTATGTGTCTCCTGAAATTTTGTAGCATTCCCCAGCCACCAAAACAACCATTGTTTGAGGTGCTGACGTTCAGGAACTGTGAAGCAGGAAGGGGTGATGCCTCTATTGGAGCCCCCCAAATGAAAAGTTCAGCAAACTGACTTAGCAGAAGAAAGACCCAGAGTAACTTTCTACCCAGCCTTAGACAGGGATTAAAAGTTCTCTTTCTCATTTGGCCCAGGATCTCCCTAAGGCTAAGAGAGAGAAAATGACTTGGGAAAGAGTTCTGCTCTTCCTCCTGTTTGTTTTTATTGCCTACAAATGGTCTAAGAAGGCAGCTATAAGAGATAGTTCAGACATTACAGCTTGGAGCTCCTGTGTACCAGGACTCGAATACAGGAAATGTCCAGCAGACTCCTCAAGGGTCAGCCAGCCAGAAGCAGAAGCTGAGATTCAGGCCATGGAAGCAGTATGCTCTGCGTGGGGGCACAGCCATACTAAGATACACAGGAAACATCCTGTTAAGTTTTGGCCTGGGAACCAGAGATGGTGATTTCCCAAGAAACCCCAGGGCAGAACATCAGTGTCTCCTTCATAGCAGGAGGCCTAGAGTTCCTTCATGAATAAACAGGTATTTGGAGTGTAATCGACCACAGACAAAAAATTTAAAAAATAATAAAAACCTATTCTTGTGACTCTCCTTTGAGAAGCCCAAGTCCATATTTTCAGGTGTGTCTTGCTTTCGTCCCAAGTAACTTTCTTTTGTGTTTAAAATCCATAGTAAAATGTCTTAATAAACACAACTGCCCCCCCTTACACACCTACTCTGGATCCCATCACCCCCTCAAATAATCACATTAGCAGCTTAGGTTATTTTATAAACGTGGTTTTGTATGCTGCTGTCTCAGTTCATGTTTATATTCTTTTATTGTTAGCATTAGTGTCTTAACATTTTGTATTTCTCCTGTCACTAAAATGTCTTTATTATTATCACTGTTTATGGCTACATATTTCATTAAGAGATTAATGAAATTTAATAATATCTTATAATTGTTTATGCTGCTTTAAAATTTTGCTTTTACAAATAATTATACGAAGAACAGCTTTCTCTATATAGTATCTTAAAGTTTTATGATTTTTCTAGAGTAAATTCTTAGATATTTTAGATTTAGTAAATCAGAGACCATTTTAATGACTCATGTAGTCAATTTTTTTATATAGTAAAATTTTTTATTTTTTATTTTTATTTTTAGTTATGTACATGGGGGCAGTATTTGCATGTGAGTGCTGATGGCTGTGGAGGCCTGAAAAGGGCATCAGATCCCCTGGAGCTGGACTTAAAGGCAGTTGTGAGCCACCTGATTTGAGTGCTGGGAACCAAACTAGGATCATCTGAAGAACAGTACTTACTACTAGTAAGTACTCATATAACCAGGAAGCCATCTTTCCAGCCCCATGAAAATTTACTGATTATAAAAATGAATACCTTTGCTGGGCATGGTGGCGCACACCTTTAATCCCAGCACTCAGGAGGAAGAAGCGGGTGGATCTTTGTGAGTTCAAGGCCAGCCTGGTCTACATAGCCAGTTCTAGGCCAGCTGGGCTACAGGGAGACCCTGTCTTAAAAAGACAAAAAAAAAAAAAAAAGAAAAGAAAAAAAAAGAATACCTTCCTAGCCACCTCTACTGAGAACATCTATATGCCTTTTTCCATTAAAAAAAAAAATAACCTAGAGCTTTCTGGAGAAATGACTGATTCTGGCCTAGGAATGGGGGTGACTTGAGAAGGAGCTCAGCTGGTCAAGGCCTTACCTAGCATGCAAGAAGCCTTGCTATGATCCCTTCCACCACATAAACTGGGTGAGGTGGTACATACCTGGACCATAATCCCAGTCCTTGGGAGGTAGGGGCAGGAGAATCAGAAGTTCAAGTTCATCAGGTAAATGAGGAGTTTGAGAACAGCCTGGGTTAGAGACCCTGTCTCAAAGGGGGGAGGGGGGAGGGCTAGAGAGATGACTCAGCAGTTAGGAGTATTGGCTGCTCTTGCAGAGGACTGGGGATCGATTCCCAGCACCCACCTGGCTGACTAACAACCATCTATAACTCCAGTTCCAGGGGATCTGATACCCTCTTCTGACCTCCATGGGCATGAGCATTGCACTACACAGGTAAACTTACACATATGCAGGCAATATACTCATACACATAAAATAATAAATAAAATACTTTATAAAAAGATGAACATGAGACATCATATCATATAAAAAACAATAAAAACACCAAAGACTAGTAGTGTCATCAAGAAGGACTCAGGAACTATAGTGGGTTGAACTGTGCCCCTCAAAAATAAGTCCACAAAGGACCAGGTGTGGTGGTTTAAAATAAAAATGAATTTAAGCTGGGCATGATGGCACAAACTAGCACTTGGGAGACAGAGGCAGGTGGATTTCTGTGAGTTCAAGGTCAGCCTGGTCTACATAATGAGTCCAGGCCAGCTGGGGCTACAGGAAGACCCTGTCTCAAAAAGACCCCCCCAAAAATAAAAATAAAAATAAATTTAAAAAATCAGGGCTGGGGAGATGGCTCAGTAGGTAAAGGTGCTTGCCACAAGACCTAAATTCAACCCCTGGAATCCACGTGGTAGGAGAGAGCTGACTCCTGCAAATTGTCCTCCAATCTCTATACACACGCTCTAGCATGTGCACACACCTCCATTAAAACCAGTAAATAAATAGATAAATAAATAAAAGTACTAACCAAGTTTACAAAGAATAGGGCCAGGTGTGATAACATATGCTTTTAATCCCAGCACTCAGGAGACAGAGACAGGCAGAGCTCTGTGAGTTTGAGGCTAGCCAGGGCTACATAGTGAGACCCTGTCTCACTCTCTCACACATACACACACCACATCCTTTTAAAAAGTCAGATATGACCAGGCATGGTGGTGCACACCTGTAGTCCCAGCACTTGGGAGGCAGAGGCAGGCGGGTCTCTGTGAATTCAAGGCCAGCCTGGTCTATATAGTGAGTTCCAGGACAGCTGGGGCTACGGGGAGACCCTGTCTCAAAAAGACCCC